AAGTGCATCTTGTGGTTTTTCTTGGAACTAGAATTTATGTCCAGGCCACCTTACTCTAAAATGGGGCCAAAATTTTAAAATGGAGTCACTCAGGTCTCACAGGGTAAATCTTAGAAGTGGCCTATATGTGCATCAACAGATGAATGGATACAGAAAATGTGGCATTTACACACAGTAGAGCACTGCTCTGCCAGAAAGACAATCATCTGTGAGAAAATGGATGCACCCTGAGGCCATAATGTTAAGTGAAATAAATCAGACCTGCAGCTTAAATATCACATGATTTCTCTTATATAAGAAACCCAAAGTATAAATAAGAGCAAAATTGGGCTGGGGATTTAGCTCAGTGGTTTCGCCGCCTGCTGTACAAGCGCAAGGACCCGAGTTTGATCCCTGGTACCAAAAAAAAACCCCAAAAACAAATAAGAGCAAAATAAAAGATACAGAATAAGAAGTAGGGAAGCAAACCTTTCTCAAAAGGGAATGAGATCAAAGGACGGAATGAGAAAGGAGGGAAGGGACAGAAAGGGGATAAAACAGTGTTAAGATATATCATGTATAAGTACCAGCTGCACATGAAGAGTGTAGACCTTATGTACTACACACATGTACTAATAAAAATACAAAAATAAACTCCTAGCCAACTCTCCCAGCACACTCGATCAGCAAACATTACCAAGTACCTGCCCTGTGTCACTTAGACCAGACGCTATGATACCAAGGTAAGCAAGTCACATGACTTGTCCGCCGAGTCAGCAAGGTGCAGAAGTGGAAAATACAGCTAAATGCACACTAGGATATGGGAACACAGAAGTGAGTTACCAAGCAGACAGACAGTGCTCACATGGAAGACTTTCTGGAGGAAGTCATTTGAAGAAGGGATCTGAAGAATAAATTAGACAGGAAAAGGGAGTGGAGTGGTGATCTAGACAGCAGGAACAACTCATTCAAAGGCTCACAGGTAAGACAATGCAAGGGAGTGTCAGAGAAATTTATGTTTCCCCAGCAGCCTGAGCTAGAACAAGCCAGGCAAATCTGCTTTACCCATGTCCACCCTCTAAGTCAGTGTTGGATCCCTGGTCTGTACTCAGCTACATGGAGGGAAACCAGGATGCTGTCTGTGCTGGGGACACTTTCTCCCTCTAGCTGGAGACAAGAACCATTGAGGTTTAGATACCAGAGAGTGAGGTATCTAGGGACCCTCTACCATTGGCCACATCCTCACCTTGAACACCTCTACCAACCGAGAGCTTTCTGCCTCCCAAGGCAGCCAGTCCTGAAGCACCTGCAGTCACAGGGAAAGCTATTTCCTCAAAGCCAAAGAAACTGACCTCCCTAACACACCTCTCCGTGGTCTTCCTATCTGGAGGCTTCTCAATGCTTCAGCCTCCCCCAAAATTTGAAGAGGTTGCTCATGTCTCACCTCCACCCCAGCCCAGACCTCGCCTTCCATCGTGTGTAGGGAACACGATTTAAGAATTGTACTGGACAGTGCCACATAGTGGACCACACCACAGCTCTGGAAGGATTTTTAAAGGGGACTGCTACAGGCAGGGGCTATGAAGAGCAGGCATATTACAGGAGGAGAAACCATGGGGCTTGGAAGAAGGAGGGTTTGGCCAAGGGAGAGGAGATGGCAAGAGGAGGGGGAATAGCCCAGGCAAAGGCACTTTGGGAATCTCTGTTTGTTTTGCCAGTAACCTTGCATATCCTTAATATAAATTAATATATTTCCTATTAAAAACTGCAGAAAACTGTAGCTGAGCCAAGGGAAAGAATAAAAATGACCTACAATTCCACTACCACTCAAAACACCCAATTGGTGTTTTCATACCTATCCTTCAAGACTTTTTTTCTCCACGTGTGTAAGTTCTGTACGTGTTTTAACCAGCCTTGTGCTGTTCCAGACCGTGAGCTATTTGTCTCCAGCATTATTCTGAAGGCTGTATTTGCCTTGCTTTGAGTGGACAGACTATTATTCATGTAACCAAACCCCTGTTGTTGGACAAGGAAGCTATTCTTTATCTCTCTTTTTTTAAAGAACTTAATGTTACCAATGAATCTGGGAGGTCCTAAGTTCTCTAACAATCCAGATGTCTTCCTTTCCATTAATTCCCACATAACCACAGACCTTCATGATGATGGGCATCCCTTTCTCTCATCAGATTCCTCCCTTTGGGTTAGATAAGGTCGAAGCTTGTCCCTAGGTCAGCCACCTTGGTCCAGAGCTGCCTCCTCTCCCTACAGGGTCTCTTCGTAGCATTTTGTAACTTGTTCCTCTTCTTGTAGTCTCCCTACACCACTGTGTCCCTAAAGCCATCAAACCCCCCATGTCCATTGTGGTCCCTTCAGGAACACCAAAAGAGCTTGAGTCTTTCCAACCAAAGGACTTTAATGCCTGCAACCAGACAGATGGTGGGAGAATCGGGGTTCAATCAGGACCAGGAAGCAGCCAGAGATTCGCCACAGCAGGAAGCTGCTCCATCCTTCTAGCTAAACAGAAAGATGGGGGAGTGGATGTTACCTGAACCCAGGACTGGCCATTTAGGATTAGGAAGCAGCTTGGCTGGAGGGCCTGTCTGGTAGGAGTGAGAGCTCCAGAGACTCAGCCACTTCTGGAGATGCCACCCATGGCTGAAAATCCCCTGACCTCCTCAGCCCTGCAACCTGCCATGGGCTCGCCCTATCAGGAAGCCTCTAACAAAGGCCTCTGGTAAATGTTATTTCCTGCGATTTTAGTTAATGACTGACACAACCCCTGACTTAATTCCCCCAAAGCACAGCTTAGATTTGGCTATTTGGTCAAACAAACTTTAGCAAAGACTTAGAGCTGGTAACAATTATAACATAGAAAAGGAAAACTAAATCATACAGTCCTGGATATTACAGCCCATTACATCCAAAAAGCCAACCCCAGGGCTGGAGGTATAGCTTTCCTAGCACTCACGAGGCCCTGGGTTCTTCCCTAGCCCAGCAAAACAATAACCAAACTTTCCCAGGATCCTGTACAGGCCAGTCTGTTCCCAAAGGCCTTGGCTGCCATTAGGCTGTTGGGCCAGCCAGGGGCTGGGCCCTTTGATCAAGTCCACCCCAACTTGAGTCGAGGTCCCTTCAACCTTCTTTGCAGCTCACCAAGCAGTAGAAAACCACTTCCCAAACACCCACCCCCTCATTACCAGGAAGTTCATGTTCATCTCCATAGAGACTGTCTTCATGGCAGAATGATGCTGAGCAGCAGTGTCTTTCTTCATGGTCCCAAACCTAAGGCCCTGCCATGAATTTCGCCCCTCTCTGTGACACAGCAGAAGAAAATTCTGAAGTCTGAGATCAGATTTGTTTTTTTTCTAAGCTTTTGCTGGTCCCAGCCCAAAAACTCAAGGTAAGAGTACCCAGGCCCCACCCAGCACTAGGAAGCTATTCCCAAGCACTGTCCAGCCTGGGCTCAGTACATGGGCACCAGACACACTGGATCTTCTACTTCAACAAAGCCAAGGAGTCAGAGTTTTGCTGCAAGGAACATTTTGAGTTGATTTTTTTTTCTCCCTTGCCCTGTTATTTTCTTCAGAGTAAATCCCCTGGGAATAAAATTATTGGGACAAAAGATAGGCACACAGTGCAAGCTTTGATACAGTGCCAATCGCTCTCTGATAAGCTCATATTTCATGGATTCTTTGCCTTTTCTGCCTCCCAGCTCCCTAATAAACTGCTGAAGAGTCTTGAGATGAATCAGCCACCGGACCAGATAAACAAGCCCGCCTGCCACAGTTGGTGTTCTCTACAGCCAGCAAAGGAACTCCCTTGGATCCCACCCAGGACGTGGAATTCCAGAGCACAGGGCCAGGCACCTTTGCACCCTGCCCCCACCACCCAGCCCTGCCCTCTAACTCCTTTCCCCGCCTTCTGCTGGGTGCCGGGTGGAGACACTGCCAAGGCGGCAAGGTTTCGCAGCCTGCCCTCTGTGCGGGGCCCGGGTGGAAGCCCAGAGGGCCCCGGGCAGGGCCATGAAGACGCTCCTGATCATCCTAGCTGTCGGATCCCTAGCCGGTGAGTACCCCCATCCCCAGGATCTTCCCCGCCCCAGGACCCAGGATTGGGGTTGTCATCTCTTGCCCTGAATAGCTCATTATGGCCAGTTTCATTTTCTTCCCTGCTTGGGCTGAACCAGGTGCCAGGGTTCTTGGGGAAGCAAGTAGCCAGCTTAGGGGTCTGGGAAGGGCTAGGGGGTGGGTGCCATCCAACCCTGGCTTCCTCCAGGGACTCAGATGACCCTTAGGTCAGAGCACATAGCCAGCTGTCAGAAGTGGGGTGCTAGATCCCCACACCCCAGCAACTGGAGGATTGGCTTGGGAGAGTCGGACATCCTTTGACCCCTCTCATCACCTGTTCAGGGTTTGTCATCTCTTTCTCTGATTCTGAGGGAGGGGTGGAGGGATGAGCTAGTGGGAGCTATTGCTTTTCTCCTCTGGCCTCTTGGGCTGGATCGGAAGAGCATTTCCTCCCAAAGTGGCCCAGAGGGCTACATTCAAGGGTCTTAAGGCACCAGGGTCCTCTTGCAAAGGAGATCACCAGGCATCCTTGTCAAATCCAATAAAGTAGACTTTTGGATTCATCATGGTGGAGACTAGACATGAGAGCCCAAGATGCATCTCTTCTCCTGGCATGGAACACAGGGTACTCTCAGGAAGCCAGAACACAGCACCGATGACAGAGAGGGAGGCATGGTCTTTTGTCCAGCACAGGATGAGGCCCAGGAAGAGACAGGGGCTCCCCCTCCATGCTGTCCCTGGCCAGCGTTGACAGGACCCTCTGTGCCTGTAGGCTGTGCTTCCCTGGCGTTAGCTGAGCAACTCCCCACTCTGGGCCCGGGATGGCCAGGGATTTGCTGCAGCCCCATGAGGCTCAGAGTGTGTCCTGTCTGGTGGGAAGCCCTTGTGCTCCCAGCCCTTTAGCATGGGTCCCAGGGAAGCCACTGTGAGGAGGTTGCTCAGGGCCAGCTGCACCCTCTGCAGACACAGCCCCTCACCCCTCAGTCTGGCTGAGCCCAGGGCATGCTGGATTGTTGCTATGTTTTTCCTTAGCTTCCCAACCAGTTGATAGATTATTTTTCCACACAAATGTGAAAACCTGCCTTTTATAAAGTCTGCCAGATGGCCGGGCTCCACACAACATACGTCTCCAGGTTTCACAATGTAGACTTTCACCCAGGAAGTGCAGAAATGACACAGGCGGGATGGATTTGGGGAGGGAAAGGAGCAAGTAGGGCAGGAGGTATTGGGGGCCTTGTTAGCTTCCAAGACCTCCTAAAAGAGAGGAGCCAGCCAAGGCCTGCCCACCCCACTCTGGAAGCCAATTTCCATTCCTTCTTGAAAAGTGGTACCAGCTACACCACCTCGAAACCCTTTACCAGTGGGCCCAAGCCTCGACCACCTGCCTCCCCCAGCCCAGGCAGCTTGCCTGGCATAATGACCTCAACCAGCAGCCTTTCCCACTGCAGCCGCGCCTATCCAACAGACCCCAGCCTTCCCTCCAATCTGGCCATGCCCCCCTGCCCTTGACTTCCCCGCACAGAAGCTACTCTTCAGTCTGTTTCCACTGCACTCACTCAGTTCTAGACCCAGCCCTGAATTCCAGAACCCCTCCCTCCAGAACTGCCAGTTCTGCCCCAACTGGGACCCAAACAGGAAGTCAGGCACATCATGGCGCACAACAGCAGGGCCATGGCACTGGGTAGAGGCTGTGAGAGCCCTACCCCATCCCCAAGACCCCACCCAGGGCTCTGGGAGCCTAGAAGATAAAGGTTTCCACAGTTGGGCCAACTAGACCCAGATTCAGAGAGGAGGGGGCTTCCCAGCAGACAGAGCTGTGTGGTGGCACTGAACTGACCCTTTCTGGCCTCACAGCTGCCTCCCTGAGCCACACAGTCCTCTCGCAGAAACTGTCTGTAGACTTGGAATGTGGCAGTAAATAACTGCCCAGTCCCTCACATGCTGACTCCAGCCAGCAACCTTTCCTGCCATGGTCATGGGTGAGTCCAGCACAGACACAGCAGACGTGCACACGGGCCTCGAGTCCTTGGCTCCACTGCATCCGTGTCTGTTTAGGCCACCCTGCGCATGCTCAGAGCTGGCCACCAGCCCTGGCCACCATCTGCTGGCCCCTCTTCCTCTCCACCACCAAGGGGGTCTCTAAGTCAAGGGCTCTTCGTTTACAGTGCAGACTCCCCACCTCCAACCCCTGCTTGGTGCCCAGTCTTTGCTGCGCCCCCTTGTCCTGAGTGGCAGTAAGCTGAGAAAAGGACTGGGCTGGGATGGACAGAGGCAGACACCTTTTTGTTTTCTTTTTGGTGTTAGGGGCTGAACCCAGGGCCTCAAGCATGTTCTAAGTGCAGACTGTACCCCCTGAGTTGCCCCCTGATCCGAGCTGTGTGCGCCTCTCTCTCCTCCCACCCTCCCTAGCCTGGGCCCTTTATGAAAGCCCCAGACCAGCATGGGCCAGGCCCCTCCCACACAGGGCTCTCCCCTCCCAGGTCCTCCCCCTTGGACTCAGCACACACTGGGCTCTTCTGTGTGAACACCTTCCCAGACCTTGCCCCACGGCATTCCCACCACCACCATTCTTGTGCCATAGTGCCTGGCAGCTCTGTCACTGCCTCCTCTGACACTGGGCAACATTTCAGTGAGTCTCAGTTTTTCTTATCCACAAAATGGGGATAGTAGTAGAGACCATCCCATCAGACTGTCCTGAGGATGGATGAAGCGAGAGGCTTGGGTCTGACACGGCCTTCATAAACATCAACCACTGCTCTTGTCATTATTGTCGGTCATCAGGAAGGGAGACTTATTTCCACCTCAGATATGAGGAAATTTTAATTCTAATAGCCTGAACAACTTCGTGGGCTGGCTGTGTAGCTCAGTGGTATAGCAGTAACCCAGCATGTGTGAGGCCCTGAGTTCAAATCCTGTCACCAAACACACACACACACACACACACACACAAATTAAACAGAGTTACCTAGCAATTCCACTCAGTTACAGGTCCAAGGAAATTAAAAATACACCCACTGAAAAATTCCTGCACAAATCTTCACAGCAGCATTATTTACAGTTGCCAAAAAGTAAAAACAACCCAAAAGTCCACCAGCTGATGAATAGATAAACAAAACGTGGTCTGTCCATACCACGGAATATTTTCCAGCCATAAAAAGGCAGCAAGGGCTGATTCATGCTACCATACAGATGAACCTTGAAAACATTAAGCTGAGTGGAAGAGGCCACATGCAAAAAGAAGCCACGACTCTGTGTACGTGCTAAGTCCAAAATAGGCAAATCCAGAGAGGTGTTGCTAGGGACTGAGTTGAAGGAGAATGGGATTGACCACAGTTTCTTTTGAGGGTGGTGGAAGTGTTCTTGAGATCACCAGTAGGGAGGGTAGCACCCCTCTTTGGCCGGCCGGGGCCAGGGTCCATGAGCCCACCGCTCACCCTCTCCTCACTCTCCTGCAGCTCACATGGCTGAGGACTCCCCTGAGCTTCTTCAGCACGTGAAATTCCAGTCCAGCAACTTTGAAAACATCCTCACATGGGACGGCAAGCCAGAGAGCATCCCAGGAACAGTCTACAGCGTGGAATACAAGATGTAGGCCTCCCGCCCCACCCGTCCCTCAGACACCGCCCCACAGCTGACCCCACCAAACATCCCCCTCTCCCAAGTCCCAGTGCCCACAAAGCTCTGCTTCTTTGCATTTCTTTTGCAGAAAGTGGTTAGTTCTACTGGCTCTGCCTGGGGAAAATGACAGTATCTTTGTCCTAAGTTGTCAGGTGGCTGAAATAAAATGAAGTCATTAGCAGTTGTTCCTGACAAATAAGAAGCTACCAACAATTGTTTTGCTATTATTGGTGAGAGAAGGTGAACACAAAGCTCTGCCCACCACCTGACTCCGTGCCCCCATCCAGTTCTCTCTTCCCATGAAGCCAGGGAGGAGGATGAACGGGAGCCCAGGAGTCTGCAAACCTGAAGTCCCGTTCCTGGTCCTCCCTCTGCCTCCTGTGACAAGTCTCTTGCCCTCTCTGATTCTCAATTTCTTTGTTTGTGAAGTGGGGATAATAGGGTTTGCTTTAAAGCCTTATGGTAACAGTGAGCCCATAATGTGGACTCAGACTGGCTAGGTTCAAATCCAGCTCACCACGTGTACACTTCAAAAGCATGGGCACATTTTATTCCTCTGAGGCTCAGCTTCCTTATTTGAAAAAGAGGGAAAATAATATACACACCTGAGGGGTCATTGTGAGAATCTACTGAGATCATCCACATGAAAGGCCCGGGACACAGAAGGTGCTAAGTAAATATTAGATATCGTTATCATCATCAATAAACCACAGGCCTAGCGGAGGGCATTTACTAACAATGTGCCACTGCTCCCTCACCTCCAGGTACGGAGAGCCAGAATGGCTGGCAAAAGTGGGCTGCCAGCAGATCACCCAGAAGTCCTGCAACTTGACCATGGAGACAGGCAACCTCACTGAGCTTTACTATGCCAGGGTCACGGCCATCAGCTCGGGAGGCTGGTCAGCCACCAAGATGACCGAACGGTTCAACTCGCTACAACACAGTGAGTAGGAGCCCCCATGTCTGGGGTGAGGGAACCACTGGCCTCTGACCCCTGGAGTAGGGAGAAGGTGCAGAGGGGCTCCGCACCCTGGGCATGTTGGGGGCAGAGCCAGGGGTTCGAGGGCGTGACCCCACGCCCATGGTCATCCCTTCACCACCCTTTCACCCAGACACCAGCCATGTGCAGGACTTTGCTCTTTTTGCCCATTGGCTTAGCTGATGCCTCCGGGCTTGGGGTGGGAGGGGAGGGGGCACAGTCATTCCTCATCGTCCACACAGCCTCAGACCCTGCCAGACAATTCTGACTTTCTCTTCTCTTTTCTCTCCCTTTTCTCAGCTACCATCAAACCACCAGATGTGACTTGTGTCCCCCAAGTGAGATCCATTCAGATGATTGTCCATCCCACTCCCACACCCGTGCACACCACAGATGGCCACCAGCTCACCCTGGAGGAGATCTTCCAGGACCTGTTCTACCGCTTGGAGCTCCATGTCAACCACACCTACCAAATGGTACATGTATGTTAAAGGCTGGTCCTTCCTTGTCTGGGGTACCCCATCTCTCCCAATTAGATCTGTGTTGCTTTAAGTAGAAAGATAAGGTGGTATATAAAATAGCGTTTCCCAAATCATATTTCTTTTCTTCTTTTTTTTGTTTTTTTGGTGCCAGGGATCAAACTCTGGACCTTGCGTTTTCGAGGCAGACAGCGGAACCACTGAACTAAATCCCCAACTCCCAAATCACATTTCTTGGAGGGCTTCTTTTTAAGCCTTGTAAACATCACAGCCACACCCTCACTCTTGTGGGTTCATGCACAAGTACACAATAGCATGCTGATGGCTCTGACAAGTCCTTCAGGGGCAAGACTCCAAAGTGGGATTTGTTTAATACAACTGTTCTCAGGTTTATTTGACCATAAAAATTTTTTTGCATAAGATAGATTTTTAAGTTTGTCTTCTAAATTGTAGAAAATACCTTCTAACACTGTAGAAAACTACCTCTATTAGCATCCTCAGGTGCTCTCTTTAGAAAATGCTGGAGATGATTCTGCTGCTGCAGTCCTTTTGGCTGCTTCTCCACTGTTTGCAAGGATCTCTACCAGGAGTGTCTTAAGATTAATCAGAATGCAAGGTGGAAGAAAAGGGCATAAATTGAGAGAAGCTTGAGCAGACTGGCTGGATCCATGCTCTACAGCTGGGGGTGATGGGAGGAGAGAGTGTGTTTGTTTCAGAAGGCAAGGAGAGCAATTAGAGGTTATTGAGGAGGAAGAGTCCTGATCACTGCTGTTTTTGATAAATATTTGGAGTTTAACTAAAGATGTTATTATTATTGATTCCCAATTTAATTCAGTTTGTGGTCAGAGAACACACTCTGCCTGATATCAGTCCTTCAAATTGATTAAGATTTGTTTTACGGCCAGCATGTGGCCTGTCTTGATGAATATTCCACATATTCCTGACAAGAATGTGTATTTGTGGTTGTTTGGTGGAATGCCACATAAATACCAATTAGGTAGAGATGACTATTAGTATTATGAGGAGCTTCTGTTTCCCTCCTGACTTGGGGAGGGATCTGTTGTGCTCTGAGCTGCTGAAAGTATTAAAGGTTCCAACCATGAGGTGGATTTGTCTGGTTTCCTCTTTAATTCTCTGCATTTTTCTTTCACCCGTTTTGAAAGTATTATTAGACATATCCACTAATGATTGTTACATCCTCCTGGTAAACTGGCCATTGGATCACACGAAGTGTCCCTTTCTTACCTCTGGATAAACTCTTTGTATTAAAATCTACTTTACCTGATACCAATTTAGCCACTCCAGTCTTTTTACAGCTTGTATAGTATATTTTTTTTTACCACCCATTTATTTTCAACCTGTGTTTTCCTATTTATAGTATATCTCTTGCTGGCTTGTGCACTTTCAGGAATACAGGTCCCGGCCCTTTTTTTTTTTTGGTGCCCGGAATCAATCTCAGAACCTTGCGCTTGCAAAGCAGTCAGTGGCACCACAGAGCTAAATCCCCGGCCCAGGTCCTGGCCCTTTAATGGAAGATGTTTGCATTGCTTAAGGCAATTAGATAGAAGAAATATGAGAGGGGATTTGTCAAAGATGATTTCTACATTTGGGATTTGGGTCTATAGAAAAAGAATGATGCTATTAACAGAATCAGAAAATCTGAAACAAGTGTGGGTGTGGTTCAGGGCAGATCCCATCTAAGAGGTCCATGTGTTTGATATGCTGAGCAAGAGGTGCCCACACAGAGATACCATAAAGGGAGCCAGCAGTGCCCATCTGAACTGTAGATCTTTCTGAGTAGTGTGGGAGTTATCCCCACACTGGTGATCAGAGAAGCCACAGACCCAGATTACATCACTAAGTGACTACAGTGTACGAGAGAGAAGAAAAAAAAATGCATGAAGAGCAATCTTGCAGAACCAAGTCAAGAAGAGCATAAGAGAGGCAGGAGCTGAACAAGAGGGGGACGCAGAGAGGAGTTCAGGGTGAAAAAGTTCAGAGGCACACAGGAGGGTGAGCGCCAGAAACCAGAGTGGAGGAGAGAGCAGCGGAGACAAAGGAGCATGGACTTCCCTCAGCAGGTACAGTGACCAGAGAGTTGGGCGCTGCACCTCCCGAGCCTGAAAAGCCAGGTGGCCTGTGGACACAGACACGTGTGGATGGGAGGCAGGGACCAGGATTGTGTCCTATAAATATAGGCCAGGCCATCCAAGGATCTGGAATAGAGAAGCATTGTAATTCTACTAATTTTCTATAATGATCCCAGTGGCACCAAGATGAATATGAAAACAGACAAGGGCCAAATCAGAGACAAGTGACCAGTAAGGAGGCCACAGTAGGAGTCCAGGCTGAAGCCCACTTCGGGCAAAGGCCAAGAGGAAAGCAAGAGAGGGATGGACATTCAAAGGTCTTTTTGTTTTGCTTTTGCTTTGCCTCTCCTTTCCTTTCCTTTCCTTTCTCTTCTTTTTCTTTCTTTCTTTTCTTCTTTTATTTCAGTACTAGGGACTGAACCCAAGGACATCTCATTGAACTACATCCCTCAGTGGTGCCACTGCCTGCCTTGTAAGCGCAAGGACCTGAGTTCGATTCCCGGTACCAAAAAAAAAAAGGTTAATGAAAATAAAGGCGTGTTATTTGGCCAGGGATTTAGCTCAGTGGTTCCGGTGCCTGCCTCGCAAGTGCAAGGTCCCAAGTTCAATTCCTGGTACCAAAAAAAAAAGAGAGAACTACATCCCCAACCCTTTTTGCTTTTTGAGATAAGTTCTCACTAAATTACCTAGACTGATTCTCCTGCCTCAGTCTCCCAAGTTGCTGAGATTACAGACTTGCACCAGCATGCCCTGCTTCAAAGGACTTTTGATGTTTGCTAAGGAAGGAGGAGGAAGATGAGAAAGACTGTGAGGAGAGCAGGGGTGGCCGGGGCCATGAGCCGTGGTAGTATCTGTAGGCTGCTTACAAAGTGTAGCGCTAAGCCAAAGGTCCAGGCAGCTTGGAGGCTGATTGGATTGGAGAATAAAGGTCAGAGACCGGAATGAAGCACTGCAAGCTGATCTTGTGGTTCTCGTCTGGAGTGCGGGCTGGCTTGGGCTCCACTCGGAGACTGGCCTTGCTCACTTTGACCCTCTGTCCAATTCAGCACCTTGGAGGGAAGCAGCGAGAATTTGAGTTTTCTGGCTTGACCCCTGACACAGAATTTCTTGGGAGCATCGTGATTTCAGTTCCAACCTGGTCCAAGGAGAGCGCCCCTTATGTGTGCAGAGTGAAGACGCTGCCAGGTGAGCATTTCGGGAGCCCCGAGGGGTTGAGAAGCCCGGATGGACGCAAGTGAGGGCTTAAGTCCGCTCCTCCCTCCCTGTACCCAAAATGAAGCTTGGCAGTGCACTGAAAAACCATGGCAGGGCCGTGTAATATTAAGACCGATCTTTGTTTATCATAACCACCATAGCGGATGGGTTGTCATGGCAAAGGTTTAATCCCCACCCTCAGCCTACATCTGAATTTCCTCTCTCTGGCCAGTGCTGTGAGTATCCTGGCAAAGCAAACTCACCTTAATATCAACCCAAGTGATATATGGCAGTTGGGGTGGGGGTGGCGCTGGGAATCTACATGGAACAGGAGGGGGAGCAAAGAAGATAACAGGATCCCTCAATGCCTTCCAAAGCCAAACAATAATGACTGCAATGACGATAATTAGCTTCTCTGCCTTGTTAACCAGACACCGGGTACCACTAAGCAGGAGCCTCCTGAGCAGTGTATGAGGCAGGCCTTATTACCATTCTCCTTTTATGGAACAGGAAACTGAAGTTCAGAGTGGTTAAGTAACTTGCTCAAGGTCATGCAGGTGAAGGACAGAACAAAACCCAGTTGCAGAGGCCACATTCTCACTACTGCACTACTGCAGATATGAAACTCCACTCAATCATAAGCATCTGATTTTTTTTTTTTTTTGGTAGGGCAGGGGATTGAGCCCAGGGCCTTCTCACTGAGCTGCATCCCCAGCCATTTTTATTTTTTTATTTTGAGACATAGAACCTTGCCAAATTGACCAGGTAAAGACTCAGACTTTCGATCTTCTAGCTTCAGCCCCCTAGAGTGCTGGGATTACAGGTGTGCACCACCACACCCAGCTTCTGATCTTTTTATTAGTGTTTCTTTTCCTAGGCAGAGAGAAACAGTGCGATTCTTCATGCCACAAGATTAGAATCTGAATACTATAGCAGCAAATTGGACGGATTGGGGAAAACAGTTTCTACTTTTGCCATCTTGTTTAGATTAGTGTCTGTGTGTAATTTCTGGGAGCTGGACATAGCACAGGGCCGGGGGGTAACTGGGTCCCATTCTTGGCTTTATGTGGGAACTCAGCTTATCAGCGGCCCAAGTGCCCACCGGATCCCAGAGCCTCCCCTGCCTGGTTGTAGAGGACCAGGCCACTCTTGGGCATCCTTCCTGGGCAACGCCTGGGAGACCAGAGTAAAACTGGGCCAGGGGGAACTAGAGAGTGGAAATGGGTAGCCAGCTGGTCTTGAGTGGGCACCCAGCTGGCATTGTGTACATGGTTTGTGCCTCTCTCCCCTGGACTCAGCAGATAAATCTCACTCTGTTTCTGACAACATGCAGACACTCCACACTTACCTCATCCATGATGTGACATCATCTTTTCAAAGACCTAGCTATTTTATACAAATCACACATCCTGATGAGTATCTTTTACTGACATATAGGTGATACCTCATCCTTCAAAATAAAATAAATTAAAAACAATTCCTACCACTTATTAATTTCTACTCTATTTCTACTATGTGTTTCAAATGCTTTACATCTACTCTGCTATCTTTATTATTGCATGTTATTTATATTTAAAACAATACTGAAAGTTGGGTCTCATCATCCCCATTTTACAGAGGTGGAGCTCTGGGTCAGAGAGGTTCAGTAACTTGTCCATGACAACACAGCTAGTCAGCTGGCTCTGAAACCAGGGCTCTAACCTCCACCTTGCAGCTTGGCTTCTAGCTCTTCCCTCGACTGCACGTTTATTCCCCTTACTTCCATTTCAGAGAGATACATCCTGCCCTTGACCCTATTTCCTGGACTCTGCCTCACCCAGAGCCCAGAATCTCCATGTGATTTCCTTCAGGATGTCTGGAGAGTTACAGAGCACTGTACCAGCATCTTAGTGCTGGAAATAGATCTCAAGATCATCTCACCCATATCGTTATTTTATGAGTACAGATGAGGAAACAGAGACATCATTAGGTACTGGCTGTGAGGAGGAGAGTTGGAGGTGTAGGTGTCAATCCTGGCTTCTCCACTGAGAAGCTGTGTGATTATGGTCAAGTCACTTACCCTCTCTGAGACTCGGCCTTGTGATCTACAAGAAAGGAGCATCCTTATCCTTAGCATTGTTCTGATGATTAGCTGGGATGACATAGGTAGAGCACCCAGCACACTGCATGGCCTGTAGGATGTGTTTCACAGGCAACTGGTACTAATAAAGGGGAGACCAGAGAGGGTGGTATAGCAGGGAGAATGCTCAGCATGCATGTTCCTTACCCTGGGCTGGCATCTTGTTACTCCATCCCATCTCCCTCTGGGCAAAATGGCCCATGGGAAATGTCTCAAGCCAGGGAACATCCCAAGTTCCCATCCTGTCCTGGTGCAATGAGCAGCAGTTTCCCACTAACATGAGGCACATCATATGGAAAGAGGAGAGGTTGATGGGTATCATGTGACCATGGGCAGCTGACCTGGAGATGCCTAGGCCACGCTGGCCAAGGGAGGATCAGGGAGTAGGCTCAAAGTAGAGGCTCTGAGATTCCTGGGGTTTACTGTGCCAGCTGAGTTCGTGGAGGCTGGTGGTCAGCTCCCACACTGAGGCCACTTGGGGTCGGGAAGACAAGGGTGACCTGGACAATCAGGACCCTGGATAATGTAAACTCAGTTTTACCAAAACCTCTCCCACCACCTCCAAAAGCCCATTCTCAAGTCCTGCTCAGGGTGCTGCCAGGAAATGGCACAGACCGGAAGGCGCCCCGCACAATGGGCTGGGCAGGGAGAAGCCTCAGGCACTGGAGTCCCACCTCCCATCCTGCCCTTTTAGAAGGGGTAGCATTCCTATCCCTTTCCTAGGCAAGGTCCTCCTGACACCCAGGCCCTTCCCTGGCAGAGAGACAGAGCAGGACAGGCAAGTTGTCCCTTCTACCCACCCTCTGCTGTTCCCTTCCTGCTGCCCTTAGACAGAGGCAGGAGGGGCTCTGCCTTGCACTCTGCCCTCCAGAAGTCTCTGCTTGCCCCCCCTCATGCCATTCCCCACAAGGGGAGGGCCCCACACAGCAAAGGGGACAGGTCCTTCTGGCCCCCGAAGCCTCCCTTCTGGACCACACTCTTGAATACTGGGACACTGAAGTCCCCTATGCTGGTGGCCCAAACCTGCATCCTGTCTAGGCAGACCTCTTCCTTGGGTCTCTCCTTGTTCAGGCAGACACTGACTGAGGAACAGACCCTTGGCCCACAGGAAGACCAATTGGTGGCTCTTTGCAGGGCCCTAAATGAGCCTGGCCGGTGGGCCAGAGGCCCTGGCAGTGGGGATGGAGCCGTGGGCTGGGAGTCAAGAGGGGGCTTTCCCTGCATCTCCATGTTGGAGGGAGCAGAGCCCACCGTCCTGGCCAGGGGCCCTGTAGCTCCTTACCCAGGGCAGGGCCCAGCCTCACGTGGCCTCCCCTTCCTCCCAGATCGGACGTGGACCTACTTCTTCTCAGGCGCTGTCCTCTTCTTCGCTGGCTTCCTTGTCACCATGCTTTTCTACCTGAGCAACAGATATATCACCAAGCCACCTGTGCCCCCCAATTCCCTGGTAAGTCATCCCAGCTGGGCAGGAGGGAGAGGACAAGGGAGGGCCCCAAAGCTCCAGGGAACAGGGGCTCCCCTGGTTCTCCCTGAACTGCAGGGTACCATAAGTCTAGTGGGTGTCCTGTTGGAATTCTTGATCCAGCCCAACGTTGACAAAAATGGTCACCAGCAGAGGGGTGGGTGACCGGGAATGGTGGACATGGAACAGAAAAGCCATACAGCCCAAGTGTGTCCAGGGCAGGTGGGTGACAGGACCTGAGTGACAGCAAGGGGACTGCAGGCCAGGTGTTGTCCTATCTTCGGTTTTCAAAAGAAAAGTCAGTATTTCAATTTGTGAAATCTCCCAAGTTTCAAATAACAGCAATTAAATTTAAACTGTGCCTCCCTGTGTGAACCTCCCAAGGCACAGCCCAGGCCCCGCTGGCTGCCCTGAGCCTCCTCTCTGCCCCAGCAGCCAGACTCTCCCAGAGTCCCACTCGCAGCCCTCAGCACTTGGAGCAGCTGCCCCACGCGAGGCACAGGAGCTCTGAAGGCACTTTGCTTAATGTCCACACCCACGGGAGCTGCGTCTGTCAGCTCCCCTGGTCTCCCCTGCTGCCCTACCCTTCTCCCTGAGCCCTGCATCAGGCCCTCAAGGCCCCGTGAGCCAAACAACACCCCCAAATCTGGGTCCCCAGCTTCCTAGATTATCTACCTCCTGGGGAAACCAGACCCTAAATCTCCTCCCAGAGAGAACATAGATGCAGACATGGCTCTGGGGCAAAGGCCTAGAGCCCCGTCCCTCTTTAGAGGAATCATTGTGCAGGGGGGAGGCAGGGCTCATACATTATTTATTTGTTTATTTTTGCTATGATGGGGATGGAACCCAGGGCCTCATGCGTGCTAGGCAATGGCTCTACCCACTGAGCCACGCGACACAGGCCCATGCACCTGACAGGGCCCCTCCCACAGCCCCACCCCCGTGGAGGGCCCCGCCTACCCACAGCCCCATGGGGAGCGCAGGACTCGCCCTAAGAGCACGGGTTGTTGTCATCCTTGCACAGAATGTCCAGCGAGTGCTGACTTTCCAGCCGCTGCGCTTCATCCAGGAGCACGTGCTCATCCCCGCCTTGGATCTCAGCAGCCCCAGCAGTCTGGCCCAGCCCGTGCAGTACGCCCAGGTCATGATCTCCGGGCCCACAGAGCCTCCAGGGGCCACAACGCTACACAACCTGCCTGAGATGGCCTACTTGGGGCACTCGGACGTCTCCATCCTCCGGGCTGCCAATGTGCCACCTCACCAGACGCTCTCCCCACCGTCCTACAACCCGAAGGCAGCCCCTGAGGTCAGGCCCCTGTCCTACACTCTGCAGGTGGCCCCTGATGCCAAAGCCCTACTCTACACTCCACAGGCCTTCTCTACAGCTCCGCCTCCCTCCTACACCTCCCAGGCCACTGGGGATGGAGGGCCTGCTTCCTACGGGGTATGCCTGGAAGGCTGTGGCACCAGCTTGCCCCCAGGGATGCCCTCCAGTCCCAAGCTTCTCAGGCCCAAAGGTCAGCTCCAAAAAGAGGCACCGGTGGGAAGCTGCATCCCTGGTGACTTCTCTCTGCAGGGAGTGAGCTCTGTGACCATGGAGGGACTCCAGGAAGCAGAACTGTTCCGCTCACCCCTGGGGGTCTGTACGGACAGAGAACTGGACCTGCATGTGCTACACAATGGGGACCCAGAGACCCTACCGTACCTACAGGACCCGCTCTCCCTCCTCTCCTCTGTGCAGATCGAAGGCCACCCTGTGTCTCTCCCTTTGCACCCTCCTTCCCTCTCCTGCTCCACCTCCAACCAGGGGCCACATCCCTGGGGCCTGCTGGACTCCCTTGTGTGTCCCAAGGACGAGGTTCAGGTATCTGAGGCTGAGCCCCTGAGACCAGGCCCCAGGGCCTTGGAGCTCAAGCAGTCCACAGAGCTGGACTCTCTTTTCCAAGGCCTGGCCCTCACCGTGCAGTGGGAGTCCTGAGAGAAGCAAAGCTGGCCTGGGCTTCCTTTGGTCCCCACCAGCATCTCCTTCTTGGCTGTCAACCTCACACCCAGCCATGCCACATGCTCTGCAGCCCAGCCAATGTGGGAAAACTGGGGAAGAGCCAGAAGAAGGAGGACAGGGGGCCTGCTGTGCACGAGTTCCCTGTCAGAGCTGAAAAGCATTATGGGAACTCCAGCTGGAGAAGACCAGGGTAAATGAGTGACATGTGCACATGACATAAGCTCTCAGAACCTGGCAGGCAGGACAGTCAGGGTCCAGGGAGGTAAGACAGCCAAACCCCTAGAGACCCAGAGCTCCAGCTCTGAGGATGCTGGGCTCTGGGCTGGCAGGGAGCCTGACCCCATTCTAGGACCATTTCATAATCTAGCTCAGCAGAGTGTGGCATCTGCCCAAGGTGGGAGAAGAAGCCTGCAGTGGCAGGCTGGGCAGAACCAGAGCAACCTGCCCTTCTGCCAAGGCCAGAGGTAGCACAGTAGTGAGACTGCTGGGAGGGGTATGGCTGGGGCTTGGTCCACACCAGGGCCCACGCCTGAAGTGGTATCATTCCAGTTTCACCCTCCAGGAAATGCAGTCTAGGGAGGTAGCCATACAAGCCTTTCCTTCAGGCAGGAGTTTCCAGCTTTATCTTGAGAACTGGATTTGAAAAGAACACAGAGCCTGGCATGGTGGTTCATGCCTGTAATCCCAGCACTGTGGGAGGCTGAGGCAGGAGGATTGCAGCTTTGAGCCTAGTCTGGGCAACTTAGCGACTTAGTAATACTCCAGCTCAAAATTTTTAAAAATTTAAAGGAACTGGGAATGTAGCTCAGTGCAAAAGTCCTGGGTTCAATCCTCATTATTAAAGGAGAAAGAGACAGAGAAAGAGAGAGAGAGAGAGAGAGAAACATGGGGCCATGAAGCCCCTGAAGGGGACCCAAAACAAACTGTTTTTATACAGCTTTGGAAACTCAATCTTGTGTTTAGACCATCTGGGTTCAAATTTCAACCTCATCACTAACCAGGTGTGTGACTGCAACCAAATGAATCACTGCTCAGAACCTCAGTTTCCTCAGCTGCAAAATGGGGACAATACCACCCAAGTCATGGGTTGTGGTGAGGGTGAAATTAATGTTTATAAAGTGCTTAACAATAGCTGGCACATGGGTGTTGCCCCAAAATGTGGCTGTTTCCTGTTGTGAATTTTTATTGATCTGGCAGTGCAAGGAGCGACTCTGTCCATGTGAGTTGGCTTCTGACCTCCTGAGCATTTTCTCCAGGACTCAGAGGATCCCAGTTGCCTCAGGATTGCTCCAGGTCAAGCCAAGAGCCAGACCGCCCAGGGCAAGCAAGGGGAGGGATTACAGAGCCCTCTGAAAACAGGGTACAGAGATCCATGAGGCGGAGCTCTGTCCCTGTGGTTCCAGGTGGAAGCTGTTTTGACTACAGCCACCATCAAGGGCTTCTGTCCCTCCCACCTCCTGCCACCCACCGGAGGCCAGCTGGCATCTGCTCCTGGAAAAAGAGGCACCCTGCTCTGTGCTTTCAGAAAGCCACTACATCTTTCTCTCTGCACATCTCAGATGACCATTAGAGGAGGAAACTGAAGTCCAGAGAGGAGAAGGGACATACCAAGCCTCGCTCTGCAGGCCACAGCAGAGTTGGTGCTCAGATCCAGGCTCTTTGTCCTCATCAAGAGAAGGACATTCCATACCTGTTGGGGCCTAAGGAGGGGAGGGCACCTCATGGGTCCCTGAAAGATAAGGGCTCCCTGTTCCCACCTTCTTGCCCCAAGTTTCTGAGAAACAAAATCAAACTCCAGTTGCCCAAGAGTGGCCTGTCCTGGAGTACACAGTGTCCTTTTTTCTGTACTCACCTGTGTCTCACCTTGTCTTCCCACCCCTTCCCCTCCCTGGGACACGGTGACAGGTGGTGGCATTCTTATCTGTGTGCAATTAATATTTAACATCTCTTCAGAGTCGCTGACCCAATATCTATGCAACAGAGGCAGGGGAGTCACCCACCTGCACAGCCTGGTCTGGACACTGCAAATAAATCTACTTCCTGTCCCTTGGCTAAAGGTTAATTGTCTTCACCTTGTTTATTATTGAAAACAACAGAACAGCTGGACAATTTGCACTGGGTGCATGGGGCCAGTGAGATACAAAGGTGTTTTTGTTAAGAGCCATAAACATCTCTTCCACCTCATAGGATCACACAGGATACAAACATTCCAAAAAAGATTCTCAGAGGGAGGAGTCTGAGGGTCTGGCTCCAAGTCTGTTTTAGAGGTCTCTGGCCCCCAGGCAGTCCAGGCCTGTAGATGAACTGGAACCAGTTAGAGAACAGGTGTCCAAGTCCCTGGGGACCCTGCCATTCCTGAGAGTCCTGGCCCCATATCAGGAAACTCCATGGCCCTGACCCGCCCATCCCAGACAGGTAAATCTCCAAGGTGTCACCTGCCTCCAAGTCATGACAGGGCCAAGCCCAGGCATGAGTGAATAGAAATACACCGCCTGCCTCACAAGCAAAAGGACCCAAGTTCAATCCCTGGTACCAAAGGAAAAAAAAAAAAAGTAGAAATACAGAACTCCCTTTATCCTCAGGGGAAACATTTCAGGATCCCCAGTGTGCCTGAAGCCCCAGATAATATGGAACACTGTATGTACTGTGTGTTCTACATCTACAGACCCACAGTAAATTTAATTTATAAGTTAGGTACCAGAAGAGATCAACAAATATTTAATAATAAAATAGAACAATGACTGAATTGAGTAAAATAAAGGCTACTTGCCCCATGATAACACAGATGACAATGGAGATGGCTACTGACTAATGGGAGAGTAGTGTATACAACGTGGACTCCGTGGCCAAAGGGAGGAATCATGTCTGGAGCTGGATGGAGCAGGACAGGGTGAGGTTTCATTGTTCTACTCAGAATGGTCTGCAACTTAAAACTTACGAATTGACTATTTTGGGAATTTTCCATTTAACATTTTTGGACTATAGTTGAATACAGGTAACCACAGGAAGCAAAGCCACAGGAAACGGGTATTATGGTTGAGGTCTTAATAGTCCCCCAAAGGCTCATGGTTGAAGGATTGGTTCCAAGCTTATGGTACTCTTGGGAGGTGGTGGAACCTTCAGGACATGGGACCTAGGGGGAGGAATTAGGTCACTGGGGGTGAGCCCTTGAAAGGATGTTAGGGCCCTGGTCATTTCCTCTGTCTTTTCACTTCCTGGCCACCAATGAGGTGAGCAGATTTGCTCTACATCCTCCCCACTATGATGTTCTGCCTCACCATAAGCCAGAAAGCAACGGAGCCAGCTGACCATGGACTGAACCCATGAGCCATGACAAATCTTTCCTCCTTATGAGTTGATTATCTTGGGTATTTTGTCACAATGACAGAAAACTGACTAACACAAGGGGGTTATGAGAGTAGCAGAAACAGTGGTACTAGGAAGAAAGAGGAAGAGGCATCTAACTGGGTTACTGGGCAGCTTACAATTCTGATTGCTCTCCCTCCTGTTAATCTTCCTTCTCTGCTAGGTCATATTATTGATATTTTGGAAAGGAGGAAAATGTGGCTCAGAAAGGCAACTTTCCTTCATCAATTTGCTAAACTTGCCTCCTCATGAAAATCCCTAGGGAGATTACTAAAAACACAGCTTCTGCATCCCACTGGCCCTGCTAGATCCACAGCTCCTGGAGAATCTGTATTCTTTTTTTTTTTACCCCAGTACTGGGGATCAAACTCAGGACCTTGCACTTGTGAGCCAGTTGTGGCATCCCTGAGCTAAATCTCCAGCCCGAGAATCTGTATTCTTAACAAACTCCTTTGGGACTCCTCTCAGGCACGCTGAGAGGATGGTGCCCTCATACCAACAGGTTCTCCATCTGCAACCTAAACTCAAATCCCTTGAGTCATCCTGTTACACCCCGGGGAAGGGGCAAGGGGCTTCAAGGCTGCAAGACCCTGGGGCCACATGGAGATGCCTGAGATCCCACCCAGTGGATGGCTGAGCCCTGAGGGATCACAGAGGGCCAGATCCTTCTGTATCCTCCAAGTCTGAGTGTCAGCCTGGACCACCAGGCAATGGCCCTGTGTCACCTCTGAGGCTTGTTCCCTGTTGCTCTCCCCACCCTGCCTTCCAGACAGTGGGACAGAGCTGTAAGCTGAAGCTGCCATGACCAGAGAGGCACTTGCTGCTTAAGCTGTTGCTGGGGGACACCACACCTAGACCCCAGCCCACTGCTCACCCCCGGGCTGAGTGAGGCACAAGAAGGTAGGATTTGACCTGGAGACATGAGGCCAGTAGCTAGAATTGCCTCTGGTGCAAGAGTGAGAGAAGAGAATGCGAGGCAGGGGCATTATCTGAGCAGAGGGAACTGAGGGAACCCCTGCCAAGAGTTCCCCATTATGGCCACCAGGTGGACCTATCAACCAAGAACAGTTCGGTTGCTCTCTGGAAAGATGGAGGCTGTGTAGCTGGAAGGAGAGGGAGGGTTCAAGTGACTGTCTATTTGGCCACATGTCCAGGAAAGGGAGGAAAGAGAAAAAGAAAGAGGGAAAGGGGAGAACCAAGGAAATATGAGCCAAGTACAATGCCAGGCATTTTACACATTTTTTTTAAAACAGGGTCTCACTATGTAATTCAGGCTGGCCTTGAACTATGTAGCCCAGGCTGGCTGGTCTCACACTCATGGTGATCCTCCTGCCTCAGCCTCCCAAGTACTAGAATTACAGGCGTGTGCCACCATGCCCAGCCATTTTACACATTTTTGACAGCAGTTTGCGTCTCACAACCATTCTGCAAAATAGACTCCTATGGTCTAAATGTTGGTGCCCCTTGATTCATCTGTTTAAACCTAGTGCCCATTGCAACAGTATTAAGAGATGGAGCCTTTGGAAGGCGATCAGGTCATGAGGGCTCCACCCTCAACACTGGGATTAATATCCTTATAAAAGAGATTTGTACACATCTGAAATCCCAGCTGTTCAAGAGGCTGAAACAGGAGGATCATATGTTCAAGACCAGCCTGGGAAGCCTGACAAGACCTTGTCTCAACATTAAAAATAAAAATAAAAATGGCTAGGGGTACAGCTCAGTGTGAGGCCCTGGGTTCAATTTCCAGCACCACACACACACACACAAAAGGTTGAAGCCTCTACAGACATGTCTATGATGTGAGGACACAGCAAGAAGAGCCATCCTTGGAGCAGACAGAAGCTCCCACCAGACACTGAATCTGCTGGCACCTTGACCTTGAATATCCCAGCCCCAGAACAGTAAGAAATACATTCCTAAGGTACTTTGTTATATAGCAGCCTGAACAAAGTAAGTGGTATTCATCCATTCATTCATTTATTTTAAACAAACCCAAATTTAGGGTCTAGTTGTATGCCAGGCACTATGCTTGGGGTTAAAGATAGAATGAATAGATGGACTGTAAAGTTCCCTGCTGGCTTGAAATGTATCCCCAGTGTACATATAAAGAAACTGAGGCCCAGGAAGGAGGCCAAGTTCCCTTTAGTCCCCAAGGATTCAAGAGTAAATAGAGTTACCCAAAGTTGTGATTTATACCAAGGTTTGTGGGACTCCAAGTCATCTGACCTGCTCAGCTTCATGGCCAATAGTTATCTTAGTTACTTCCCCATTGCTGGAACGAAATACCCAACACCCACAAGTTGAAGGAGGAAAGGAGGAGGAAAGCTTTAGCTCACAGTTTGTAGAGGTTTCAGGGTACAGTCAGCAGGCTCCAAGGCAAGCTGGCATGGCAGAGAGGTATTGCAGAGGAGAAACAGTCCACAGCATGGCAGGCAGGAAGCAGAGCTATCAAGAGAGGAGAGTTTTCCTTGCAGGCCATGCCCACAGTGACCCACCTCTTCCCACCAGGCTTCACCTCCCAACATCACTCTCAGCTGTAAACCCATCAGTGGTCTAATCCAGTGATCCAGTCATCTCCCCAAACCACACCTATGAGCTCATAAACCATAAACACTGGGCTGTTATTTTGTTACTTACAGAGGTCCCAGTGATGGATAGGAGCATTGCTCATGGAGGGACACACGGAGTGGCAGAAGGCCCTCTGACAGAGCTATCATTTAGCAAACATCTGTTGGGTACCAGGCACTGTGCTGGAGGTTGCAAGTTTCTTTTTCTTTTCCTCTTGCTTGTGTGTGTGTGTGTGTGTGTGTGTGTGTGTGTGTGTTTTATTTTGTTTTGTTGAGACACTGTGTAGCCCAGGTTGACCTTGAACTCATAATCCTCTTGTTTCAGCCTCCTGAGTGCTGGGATTACAGGTGTGTGGTACCATTCTCTGCCAGAAGTTACATATTTCTTAATTAAATCTTTTCGGTCAGACTGCAAGGCAAGGCATTATTGTCCCCCACTGTACAAATAATCAAACTAGAATGGCAAAGTGATTTGCCCAAGTTCATACAGCTAGGAAGTCATGGGATGGATTGGGACCCCAGGCCACTCAGACTCAGGGTGGTCCCTGACCCTGGCATGTACTTAGGTTCATCCCAAGAGGCTGTAGGACAGGTTGCAATGGTTGTGTCCTGCTGGATGGAAGCAAAGCTCTCTTTGCTGCATGTACAGATTCCTACTCAGCCCTCATGGCAAGCATGTGAGTCCTGGAAAGCCATTTGTAGATGGGAGGGACAAGCTGGGCATGGTGATTCATAGCTATAATCCCAGGTACCCAAAAAGCTGAGGCAGGAGGATTGAAAGTTCAAGCCCAGGCTGGGCAACTTAGTAAGAACCTGTATCAAAGAATTAAAAATGTAAAAGGGGCTGGGGATGTAGCTCAGTGTGAGAACCTTGGGCTCAATCTCCAATGGCAGAAGAGAAAGAAGAAAATGAAAGAGGAGGGGGGAGGAAGAAGAGAAGAAGGGGGGAGGGGAAGAGGGAGAGGATGGAGAAGGGGAAGGGAAAGGGGGAGGGAGAGGGAAAGAGACAGGTGGAGGAGAGGAGGAAGAGGAGAGGCCACACCAAGTGTTCTCCCTCGAAAGTGCTATGAAAGCTGTGGAGACAGGGCAGAGTACAGAAGCAAAGGAGCTCGAAAGGACACAGGGTGCAGAATAAGACTAGGCTGCATGGTTCCCCAGTGAGGAGTACCCAAGGCACTAAGAAGTGTGACAGGCAGTGTCAGTGGCCACCTGAGGCCCCAAGTGTGTGGGGCAGCAGCCTTCCCAGACCTGCTCATCCTCTGGAACCTGATCCTGGGTTCCTTCCTGGTAGCCCCCAGGTACTTCCCTGCCCCTATGGTGACCAGGCTGGGGGTTGTGCCCAGAACTGCTGAGATGGTAGAGAGCAGAGATGTCACGCACTCCCCACCAGCCAGGGGTCCCTTATGAGCCCTAAAGATGCACTCTCAGAGTCCCCCAACCCCAGCCACCTTGGGAAAACATAGATGCCAGGACCCACAGTCTCTGTTTTTCAGAAAGGGAATCGGATCAAAGAAGCTGAGCACCTTCCCAGGGGCACCCAGGCAGCCAGAGGGAGAGCTCAGATCTGAACTCCTGCAGCTGGGAAAGCCATCTGTGTCCGCCTTCCAGCCCGGCCAAGCCGCTACCCTCCACTTGAACAGGGGCAAGACTTGGCAGGAGGAGAGGGCGAGGGAGGAGCAGGGGGTGGGGGCTCTCCACCTGTCACTGTGCCCAGCCTCGCTAGAAGGACAGGATACCCCCCTGCCCCCACCCGCTGCCATAGTTCCCATCCATTGTCATCACACCATCCCAGCACTGCTATATATATAACCGTGCCGGCTCCAGGCTCACATTCTTCTCCCTGTCCTCGCTGAGCAGAGGGCAAGAAGAGACCTAGGACCCTCTCACCCTCCGGGATCAAGACCTTCTCCCCAGAGGCTCCTAAGTGGACACAGCTGTTTTTGTGAGTTCTCTGTCTCCATGGGTTGGGGTAGGGAGGGACACTTCGAGGAAGGGAGACCCAGCTTTCCCTTTCGGAGTGATTACATGAGTGCATGTGTGTGTGTCTGTGTGTGTGTGCACACATGTATGCTGGAACAAGGCCTGGAAGATTTGTGCTTGTGAAAATAGGAGAGGGTCCCAGAAACCCCTCCCCTTCCCTGGGTCTTCTGAGCTGAGTCTTCCATGTTGTGAAAGCTAAAAGAAAGGGACCTGTGGGGATCAGGGTGCCTCCAGAACTGGAGTCTGTGCAGTCATGGAGCAGCCATCACAGGGATCTGGGTGAGCTGGTGCGTCCGGCAGAGTTGCAGCTGGCTGGCCGCACCTGCTGACCCCACAGCAGGGACAGACCAAGCCCTGGGTCCCAAAACTCAGAGCTGGAAGGGATTCCATCCAGTGCCTGGAGTGACTGGCAGCAAACAGAGGGCCAGCCAGAAAGGGAGATGCCTCTGCTCATCAGGGCCAGGGCATCCTAGCCTCTAGGGAGCTGGGGAAGCCACAGTGTGTCCCAGCCCCAGCCGTCAGAGTCCGCCGAGGCAGGATGTCTCTGCTTCCACCACCCAGTGCAGCTTCTCTGGCCACCAAGTCTCTCAACCTTGGGCATTTCTCTCCCTCTTGAGGATGGGAGGGGCCTCCCTGGGGTCTCTGCAGGAGGAGTGGGGTGCTGACCCCTCCCTGCAGGCCACAGGGAGTTATGGGAAGAGAACACCCTGATCCCGTGGGAAAAGGACAGCAGAGGCTGCAAACTTGTCCCTGCTTAATCCCATGCATCAGTCAGTGCTTTAAAAAGCAGCGATGGCTCATCCGCTCCAGGGGAGTCTGGTTGCTGGAGGCCCCGAGGTCAGGGATGAGTGCCAGGCCAGGCACGGTGCTAATCAGGACACAGCACCAGGGGAAGGGAGCCAGTGAACTATGCCCGGTAATGTTAACCCTCGGCTGCTGGGGCCAGGACCACAGTGTCCCAGGAAGGCATGGGAACCTCACTCCACCCAGGGTAGTATCTAGCAGTTGTCCTGTTGGGCTGAGGAGGAGAGGGTGGAATGAGAGGGGATGGCTATTTCTCGGGGTGTGGAGAGACCCTCTTCCATCAGGGGGAACCAGAAGTAAAGCCAAAGAGGGTGAGTGTCCATTGATCCATTGCTGAGATTCTCAGCAGGAGCCAAAGAAGCTTTAAGGATGGTCCTTGGTCACACACCACTCTGGCAATTTGCTGTCCTTCCTGATGTACACCGCTGTGGACACCCGCAGGGAGCAGGAAGAAGTGTCTGTCCACTGAGATGGATCCTCAGCAGCCTAAACCCCCACATTCCACCCCACACCAGGCTCCTTCCAGGCAAAGGATCTCAGGGGCCAGTGGGTTCATCTTTCCTCCATCACAGAACTAGAGAAAGGGTTCCTGGGTGCTATGTCCACACAGGTCAGAAGACAACATACACACACACACACACACACACACACACACACACACACACAAACAGGGCCACCTTCTTCAGGCCCCTCTGGAGAAGCTGAGGGTCCTCCCTCCTCTTCTGTTCCCTTCCCCAGGCCAGGCAAGGTGCTTTCAGGTTAGAGTCCTGCCACCAGAATGCTCACCTGGAGCAAGTGTGATGCCATTCTGGGGAGTCCACCGTGTCCTGGAACTTGGCCTCAGAGGAGCCCTCAGAGATCCAGCAGCGACACACTGAGGCCTGGTCTGAAACCAACTTAGTACATAAACCCAAAGCCAGCGAGTGCACTGGCCACCCACACTCCCCGCTTGCTCCCAGATTCCTGATAAGCTCAGTCCAAAACCTGAGAATATAAGAAAGGATTTGTACACTGTGATTCCCTAAGGTGAAGAAAGGCCATGTGGCCCACTGTGGCCCAGCCTCAGCCAAGGCCTGGCCTTGAGTAGATGTAGAGGTCCAGGTTGGAGGGGGTGGAGCTGGGCACACCTGGTGCCCATTATGGCTTGCAACGAACCGCTCAGGTGACTGGAGTAGCTGCTTTCCCTCCTCCTCAGCATAATGGAAGAAAGTTCCAGCTGACGTGTAGGCTTTTCAGTGGGGCCTTTTTTTGTTTAGAGAAAAAAATCATGCTAATGTCTGACACTCATGTTTTACTTACTAAGTGCTAGGCATTCACCTAACCTTTGCAGCTACCCTGGAAGGTTGGTAGGCCCATTTTACAGATGAGGAAACCAAGTCAGAGAGTCCAAGGTCACACACTGGAAGCAGGAATGAGGAGTTAGGATTGTAGCACCACAGCCTGTGGCATCCTCAACTGGACTTGGAAATGTGGCTAGTTAAGCAGGCAGAAAGAGGGAGGGCTCCCCACGACAGGAAACCAGGACCTAGGGGGACATCTGCAGGAGGGTGAAGACATCTGCCTGTCCTGAGTTCTAAACACAGTCTCAGACATCAATGTGTGATCCCTCAGAATCTGGGAAGCAAAGGCCAGAGAAGGGAGCATGTGGTCCCTAGTGGTGCAGCAGGGCAGGCAGGGACCTGGTCACTCAGCCAAGAGAGCACCACCGGCTGGTGGAGAAGCTGGACTCAGAACCCAAGCCTGCCCAAGATTTGCCCAAGGGCAGATCCATCTCCTTCTCAGACAGCCCTTCTCCTATCCACCCACTAGAGAGAGGACCCCTCACCCCTAACCCTCTAGAGATGCAGGGAGGGGCACACAGGGAAGGACAGGCAGCGACTGGTGGAAGGACTGACTGTGCACTTTGGCCTTGGCAGGTTGTTGCTCAGGTAGTCATGACTCTGCCTCACAGCCCTGGAAGTGTGGGGGAGTCCCAGCCCCCCCAGGCCATCCAGGTGCACAGGCTGGAACACAGGCAGGAGGAGGAGCAGAAGGAGGAGCGACAGCACAGCTTGCACATGGGCTCCTCAGTGCGCAGGCGGACCTACCACAGCAGGTGGGAGCACTGGGGGGGGGGCGGTCTGAGGAGGGGGCACACCCAGCCCTCTGCAGACCCCAGTCTGATGGGGGAGGTCGTACAGCCTTGCCCCTTGGAGGCCCCTGTCTGAGACGGGAGGCTTAGCCTGCAGGCCAGCACCCTAAAATCAGCCCTAGTTTTGGGGAGCCCCCAGCCACATCCGCAGCCAAGCCTGCCGCAGCCATGAACTTCCGTTTTCCCGGAGCAGTGAGGAAGAGCATCAGTTCAGCGCTGCCGACTACGCGCTGGCCGCTGCCCTGGCCTTGACGGCCTCCTCGGAGTTGTCCTGGTGAGTCGCGTGCCCCCCGGGAGCCGGGCAGAGGGCGGCTGTCCTGGCCCTGTTCGCGTCCTCACGGCCTCTGTCACCCAGGGAAGCCCAGCTGAGGCGCCAGAGCTCCGCCGTGGAGCTGGAGGAGCGCGGCCAGAAGCGGGTGGGCTTCGGCAACGACTGCGAGCGCACGGAGGTCGACTACCTGCACACGCAGAGGCTGGTGCGCCAGCATCGGGACTGGAAGGCGCTGGGGCAATGGGTGAGGAGCCAAGGAGCCTGGGGCCTCGGACCTGGGGCCCGCCAGGTGCCACCATCCTTACGCTCACTCCCTTTCCAAAGGGCATCCAGGAAGGGGCGTGGGCCCCGAGTTTGAACCTCGGAGCCCCACCCTCTGACTGTGTAACCTGGGTTGCTCCGGAGCCTTGGTTTTCTCCTGGGTGACACAGATGGGGTTATAAAAATCTCAGGTCTGAGGCGGAATTAAATGAGCCTGGGTCTGTTGCCAATCCAGCAAATGCTGGAATCTGAAGTCACTCGCCATACCGCTTCCCGGGGCACACTGCCGTGGGCTTTTTTATGTCGGTATTTGACACATTTCTCCATATTGACTCATTTAATTCTTACTACAGCCCCTTGCGGGGAGAATATTATCATCATCTCCATTTTATAGGTAAGGCAACTGAGGCCCTGCCTGTGGTCCATCAGCCAGTAAGTGCCAGAGTCAGACCTTGACCCCAGGCCATGCCCTACCTGCTGGGCAGCACCACCTCTCAGCTGGTGGGGAAAGGGGCTCAGCCCATGTGGGTCTGACTCCAGGTTCTGGGCGTGGGGTGTAGGGGGCATGGCAAAGGTGGGGAGGGCCGTCCCTGGCTCATAGGAGTCACAGGTGCCCCTTCCTGCCTCCAGACAGAGGAGAAGGTCCAGAGGGCCAAGGAGCTGAGGGAGCTGTGTTCTGGCCGGGGACCCTGGTTCTGGATCCCCCTTCGCTCCCATGCCGTCTGGGAGCACACCACGGTCCGGCTGACCTGCACCATCCAGGGCTCGCCTCCGCCCCAGGTCACCTGGTAAGAGAGATCCTCCCCCAGGAGGACTGGCTGCCTCAGCAAAACCACATAGCCACAGACCCTGACTGCTCATCCCCAGATAGAAGGACAGCTGCTGGGGAGCCTCGAGCCTGGGATATTCTTAGCCACCCCCCTGCCAGCCTGGGGCTGGAAATGGGCACCCCTGGGGAGCCAGCCTTGTAAAAATATGATTCTGGTGGTAGAGGAAGACAGCTGCTCTCAGCTGGGTGTCTCCAGGGCCAGAGGATGGTGGCAAAAGGCAGGAGGGGGAAGAGCAGGTCCTAGTGGGAGGAGCTTAGACCACAGTGGGGAGCCTCTTGTGCCAGACCAAACTTTATTATGGTCTCAAGCATGTATCTCAACCTTTCTGTGTCTGCCTCCATTTCCTATTCTGTAAAGTGAGTTGAAGACCTCCTATTTAACCTGCATGGAGTGAGGATTTAATGCCACCACAACACAGAAGCCTTCAGGACTTGAAACAAACTGGGAAAGCAGGAAATGCAATTTCTGGGAGCATAACCAGAGCAGAACTAGGCTGGGCCCAAGTCGGGTGGGAAGGGTTCCTGGACCAGGAGTGGTGGAGATGAGGTGCCCCTAGGCACATCCTGGAAGGAGGTGCATTGTCTCCACAGTGCAGCCACTGTTTACTGAGTTCCTGGAGTCTAAGGCCCATTGCCACTTTACATTGACTCAGCATTTTTCTCTCATTTGATCCTCAAGACTACTCATGCTGAGGGACTGCCACCCCCATTTCACAGACAAAACTAACAAGGCACAGAGGGGTAGTATAATGTATTTAAGGTCACTCAGCAGTGTGAACCAGAATTCAAACTCAGGGCTTCTGCCTCCAAGCTCAAAGTTCTTTCTCCGTGGCTTAGAGTACCAGAGAGGGATCATTAAGCCATTATCTTCTGTAAAGTGTACAGAGTGCTCAGGAGTGGGAAGTAGGAAACACTTCAAATGAGACCAGTAAGAAAGGCATATTGAGGGGGTCAGCACTGGGGCTGACCATTGCCAGCTGTGCTTATTCAAAGAAGTATACCAGGCACTGTGCCTGGTGCCGGGTCCCATGGGGACCAGGACAGTCCTTCATGCAAGTGGCTGGTCCTAGTAGGAGGACCGCTTCCAGCATGGCCTGGGCTCTCTGGTCAGAGCCAGCCCTGAGGCTGGTGTCTAAGGCGCTGTGCAGCAGCCTCTCAGAAAGGAGACTGGTTTCCACTCCAGCCGAGAAGGATGCTACAACAGGGCACCAAGCATTTCTTAAAGGAGGGAACCCAAGGCCCAGTCCCCTCCAGCCCCAGTGACACAGGTGGGCCCTGGGGCTCCCAGAGCTGCAAGATTACCCATCAGCCCCCACTAGGGGCAGAGCCACAGGTGGCCCTAGGATTGGCCTCCCAAGTTCCCATCCAGGCCCTGCAGGAGACCCAGACAAGAGAAAGAGCCTGGCTGCACGGGGAAATGCATTCATTCAGCAATCATTGAGCACTTCCTGGATGCAGAGGTACCAGGAAGACTCAAACACACAGCCACACTCTAGCCAAACAGACACACCAAGTTCTCACCTGGCACTCTGAGGAAGGACTCAGCTTGCTGTGCAGGTGAGGGAGGGATGTATTTTTAAAACGGGAGGCTTCATGGAGAATGTTCACAGGTGGAACCCAGAATTTCAGCCAGGGAAGCCTTAGGGCATTCAGGGACCCCCAACTCCTGTGAGGTGCCAGGAGCCTGGGCCAGAGGTACAGAGGGAAGGACAGGAGCAGAGGGTCAAGTACTGAAAGGTGAGCTGGGGCTGGACTCAGAGGGTGGGTGGCAGCACCCATATCTATACCCATATCTATACCTCCAGGGTCAGGAACAAGGTGCAACTTCCACAGCACGGCCCAGGGAGGATGTGGGGAAACTGCTGCAAATGGTGTGTTAGAAACCCCAGCCCCTCAGAGGCAGCACAAATTGAGGGAGGCCCATTGGCCATGCTGAGCTGCAGAAGGGGTCTTGACCATGAATCCGACTGTTGCCAGTTAGAATCAGCCTCTCAGAAATCAGGCTCGGAGGTGCGCACTTATAATCATGTTACCAGATGGAGGGTCCCATGGAGCCTCTTTCTAGGTTCTTGGTGTCCTGCGCAAAGAATTGGACCAGACACACAGAAAAGGCGTGAAAGTGTACATTTATTGAAAGCAGAAAAGAAGTATGTTCTGCAGAGTGGGTGTGGGCCAATGAACCCCTCGCACCCGCCCTGAGATTAGGGGGAAGGATCTTTTATTTCCGGTCATGTGCATGTACTTTCCCATAATTCACCCTAAGATTGTATCCATGCGATGCCACCCATAAGGAAGAGAAGATAATGTGTTTGTCCTCAGCCAAAGGTTACTTTCAGACACCTTGAGGTGTTTCTGTACTGCGCCTAAGTTGGGGATTTCCCGAAGAACTGATTTATAAAGCTACCACTTCAACTGTGGCTATTTTTTGGGAGTTAGAGAGATGGGTCCCTGGGCAGGACCAGGACCCTCAAAAATTGATAGACAGGTGGTCCTTATCCCTTGGTTGATAGGAAGGCATCCCCTGGCTGGTGCTAACTCCTATTCTATTCCCAGCACTGGGGAGGCTGAACCAGGAAGATCACAAGTTCAATGCCAGCTTGGGATACATAGCAAGACCCTATCTCAAAAACCAGAAGAAGAAAGAGAGAGCTGGGGATTTAGCTCAGTGTTTCCACCACCTGCAAGGACCCGAGTTCGATCCCCAGTAAAAAAAAAAAGAGAGAGAGAGAGAAAGAGAAGGAGGGAAGAAGGGAGGGAAGGAGAGAGGAAGGGTCAGTTTCTTGATCTGAGCACCCTTAAAGGTAAAGTCTAACATCAGAATATAGGCAGAGAAATAAAAGACTTAGATAAGCAATACAAATCTCACTGTTTTATGAGGACCATTCTGAGTCAGGCTCTGGGAGGTCCCCTTTAATGTTACTGTATTATCAGATACCACTTAGGACTGGCTGCACAGCCTGGCCACAGTGGGGAGACTGAGGCCCAGAGACAGTGATGAATGTGGCTAAGGACTCCGCCTTCCAGGCAGGGCCAGGGCTGCAGCTGCTGCATTCTCCCCAAAGGAGGAGCCGAGTCTGGAATGTTGCAAACAGGTGTGGGGTGGGGGCCTGGCCCTGATCCCCAGGGCTTGGAGAGCTGGAGAAATTGGGTTCCCAGATTAGGCACCACACACTCCCCCGATGGGAGACTAGTTGGGCCTCTACTCTGAGAGGTTGCAGGCTGGGGGCTGTGTGGGTGTGGGTGTGTTTGGCTGTCATGGAGACAAACAGAGCCTGGGTGTCAGTAGCAAACAAGGCAGTGCCCTGAGGCTGAGGCACCCTCTGTTGGCAACGAGGGGCACCCTCCTCCTCAACCTCAACCACCTATTTAATGGCCTCTGGGACACAGAGGTCCAGAGAGGGGGACTGACTTGCCCAAGGTCACACAGCAGGCTGTGTAAAGAACCCTGCCCTCCTAACCTTCACTGACACTCACTCCCCAGTCTTGACCTCCTAGGCCTCCGGACCTCCAGGCCACCCATATATTAGGGAGAAGGGCGCCCCAGAGTTCACAGACAACAAAGGAGGTGTCCAGGACAGGGTGATCCGTCTGATGCCCCAGAGATGTTTAAACAACCCTGACCCCGGAGTCCCACCCCAAGAAATTGTGAGTTCATTGGTAAATTCTATTTCTTCAGGATCAGGGGAGAGTTATTATTAATAGGAGGGCAATCAGCACAGCCTTGGGGAAGGCTATGTTCAAACACTAGGCAGGGAGGATTTTGTTCAGCTTTTGGTTTTGGTTTGCTGGCAATGCTGAGTCTAGAACCCAAGGCCTGGTGCCACTTGTCAGGTGCCCTCCCACTGAGGCACCCCATGTGGAGATTTTCAAAGCTCTGGGGAGGATTTGGATGAGAACCAAAACTAAGACCAGCTGTCCTGAGAGGTTAGACTGGCTCCTGGGGAAGCAGCTGCCCCTAGGATGGGTTCTTCTCAGTGCCAGAAGTGGAGAGGTATGTGTGTGTGTGTGTTACTGGGGACTGAACCCAAGGTCTTCACACTGAACTACATCCCCAGACCTTTTCTCATATACATATA